CCCACCTGCCCCGGAAGTGACCACATGGCATGGCAGACCTCTCCTGACCTGCCCGCTGCTCCCCTCAGCAGTGTACTTCGTAGATCTGGCTGTTCTGCTCCCCACTCTGTCTCTGGTGAAGCCTCTTGCCACCCCTTGAGCCTCTGGCCTGTACCCCAGTTCTGTATGCACAAATAAATAAATCTTTAAAAACAAAGAAAAAAGAAAAGTTACAAAACACTGTTAAAAGAAATTCAAGACACCATGAAGTGGAAAGACATCCCCTGCTCATGGATTGGGAGAATTAACATCATCAAAATGGCCATCCTACCAAAAGCAATATACACATTTAACACCATCCAATAAAAGTCTCAATGGCATTCTTCAAAGAAATAGAAAAAATATTGATGAGATTCATATGAAACAATAAAAGACCTCAAATAGCCAAAACTCTCATAACTAGGAAGAAAGAGAATGGAGGCATCACAATCCCAAACTTCTAGCTATACTACAAAGCCATAATAATAAAAACTGCATGGTACTGAACAAGAGCAGACATACAGACCAGTGAATTCGGATATAAAACCCACATATAAACCCACAGGTTTATGGGCAGCTAATCTTTGACAAAGGAGCAAAGAAGATACACTGGAATAAAGAAAGTTTGTTCAGCAAATGGTGCTGGGAAAACTGGGAAGCTACATGCAAAAAAAATGAAACTAGATCACTGCCTCACACCTTACACAAACATCAACTCAAAGTGGATTAAAGACCTAAACATAAGAATGGAAACCATAAAATACCTGGAAGCAAAGATGGGCCAAACACTACATGGCACACACTTCAGCGACATCTTGAAAGACAGAGCTCCCAATGCAACAATAGTGAAGGCAAGGATAAATAGATGGGACTTAATCAAGTTAAAGAGCTTCTGTACAGCAAAAGAGACATTACAAAGACAAACAGACATCCCACTGATTGGGAAAAAAATTTTCTCACACAAAACTAGTGATAAAGGATTGATCACAAAAATATATGGCAATTTTTTAATGAGTAAAATATAGTCATTTGGGTTTGTTTTCTTTTTTGTTCAAAGATTTATTTACTGATGCATACATGAGCTGGAGTATAGGCGAGAGGTGAGGGGGCTTGTGAGAGGATTTACCACAGAGTGGGGAGCAAAACAGGCAGATCTACTGAAATACACTGTTGAGGGTAGGAGAGCAACCAGAATGACAGGAGAGGTCTGCTGCGCCATGTAGGTCACCTCCTGGCTGGGGCTTGAACTTGAGCTGCAGTGCTTTCAGTTTCCAGTAGTTTCACAGTTCTGAGACTTAGCCCCTTGCACTACCAGGAAGGCCTGGATTTTGTTTCTTTAATTTTTTCAGGTTTATTCTTTTTTTTCCTTTTTTAAAATTCGCATTATGTCTTAGTAACATTGTCTTATATCAGTTTGAGGTGTGCATCATTATAAGTCAATGTGTGAATCTACTACATTAAGTTCACCAGTACAAGTTCATCTATCCTTCACCATATAATTTTTGTTATTTCTATACTTATATTTTTGGATCATTATTCAGTTTTGTGTGGTTTGCTTTCTCCTCTCAGGTGTAGTGTCCATAAATTTCCCACCACCAAGTCACACAGGTAGGTTTATCCTTTCATAGAATGTATTATTACTTCATTCTTTTTGATTGGTGACTAGTATTCTATTGTGTGTTTATGATATATTATTATTCCCTTAACTTACTGAATGGTATTTATGTTGGAACCAGTTTTGTGTATTTTCAACAGGATTAATATTTCCACAAAAGGCTCATTTTATGCAAGTTTTCTGATGGCATGTTGCTTTCTATAACAAAATATCTATATGAATATTTTATTCATAAACATATGGTAGATATTTATGGTTGGGAGAAACACTGAAAACATTTTAATGCAGAAAATTAAAATCTACAGAAAATTATAAGGATCTTAAAGAGATTTAAACGGAAAATATCAGAACTTCCCTGTAAAAGATATAAACCAAGAGAATTATCCAGAGTCATTAAACAAATACATAAAAGATTCCTCCAGATACTGGCTCAGAATGGTTTGTCTAACTTAACCCATGGCAAATGTAATAAACAATGAAACAGACAGGTTGGAGACATTGTAAATGTGCCATCTCCCAAAAGTGAGAATAAAATTGTTTACTATGAAGCACACAGAAAATATGCTACCAGTGTTTAGAGACAAAATAAGTTAGAAGCCACATAAGCTTCAGATACTGGAGCAATAATTAAAATGTTTTTGTAAGTAGAGTGAGAAAAATTAGGAAATCAATATAAAGTGGAAAGATCATGAAATTATACTCCTCATTAGTCATAATTTAACAGTATCAGATTGAAAGTAAATAATGTAAACATCACAGATCAAGTTAATTTAGTGAAATAATCACTAGCCAAAACTAATGACTGAACTTAGAAATAGAACACAGCACAGAAAATTGCTGAAACCAGTAAATAAGACAAAGAGAAATAGAATATAAGAATAGGAAATATGGAAAAAAATAGAATGAGGAAAATCAAGCACATTTACATTCTAGTAAAATACACAGTAAGAACTGAAAATAGTAACTATAAATTTCTAAAATTTAATTCCAAATCACAATACTTGAGTTAAAGAATCTGTCATAAAGAGATTTAAAATTTTATTATAAATTGTAATTAATGATCATAATAGAAAAATAATAAAAACCAAAATTAAAAAAAGATAATACGCAATAGGAGCCTCATGGTTCAGTTAGATCCAAAACATTAAAAGTATTTTATAAATTATTATGCAAGATATAATTGGATGCTTATATAAGGTATGTATAATTTATAACAATGAAATAAAAATATGTTGAGGTAAAGACACTAGATTCTGTTTTCAGTGGGAGATCCTTTAGAGTGTATTTTAAAAAGGGTGAAAGTCTAAGAATCAAAATGAAAAAATAAGAGAATTGATAGGGGAAAAATCAAAGTACTGATTTCAGAAATATTTAGAATGGGAGGGAGAAGAGGAATGGGCAGGTTGGGGGAAGGAGTGCAACTGTACAGTTGAGGATAGAGCTGCACATTTAGTCCAATGGCAAACACCTGGAATTTATATAATGTTACAATGGAGTGTTACTTCAATACAAAAATAAGTGCAATTTAAATAGAAGTCTACATTTATACATTTTAATCGAATAAGACAGCACATCACATAACACTTGAGTAATTTGTCAAAAGAATCTATTTACAAATAAGTTGTTTCCATTATTAATTGGTAAAATCTTGACAGCAATATCATAGCCTCTGTTGAAAAATATTCTTTATTCGCTTATCGGAACTGATGAGCACTAAAGGGCTGACAGTGGGGTAGACATTGGTCACAAGACTCTGGACACCCAGAATGACTGGGCCATACTCCCATAACAGGGTTGAGTAGGAGGAGAGGATCAGGTCCACCCAGTACATGATCACAAAGAAACTCACCAGCAGCAGGATGGTCTGGGTGGCCTTTTTTTCTGGGGAGAGTCTTGGGAAGAGGCTGGTGCTATGAAGGTGCTGGGCTTGCCTCTGATGTCTGATCAAGAGAGTCACCATGTATGCACTTGAAAGCAGCATAACTCCACCAAAGGAGACATCTCTGGACATTGTCAGAGTGAAAAACACTAGTGTCATGATGGTGCTTGTGGGGGAAAGTGAACAGTACTTACTAAAATTTAAGAGGCTGCTCTGGGTTTCATTGGATACTGCAACGATGTAGAAGATCAGGTTGCTACTGAAAGATAAACTGAGGGACCAGAAGATGAAGAAAATTCGGACCATGGAATTTGTGAACTTCCGTTTAAGCCTTGATAGCTGGGAGGTGCTGGGGCTGATGGTGATGGCTTGGAACAGACTGAGGAGGCAGGTAGTACAAATGGAGAGGCCCCTCGTCACCCTGCTCAGGTAGATAAATGTCTTACACTTTAAGTCATTCTGAAGGTTCAGTGATTCAAAGAGGTCTGGAGACATCAAGAACAGTAAGGTGAAGAGCATCATTATGTGGACAAAGGCCAGATGACAGGTGATCATGTCAGCAGGCCTACGCTTGTGATCCAGGAGGGACGTGAAGATGCGGAAAAGAAGGAGAAAGATGTTGGCTGAGATTCCAATGCCGGCTTGGAAACAAGAGGCATTTTCAAATGGTAACATAGTGTTGAATGATAATCTTAATGACATATAAGAACCTATTCTGTGTATCAAGGGGAAAAAAATAAATCTCACATCATCAGTGTTCTTCCTTTTCTCAGGCAAAATCAACAACATCATTTTCATTTCAAACATTTATTCTTGAATAATCCTAACAATATCATATAAAATCTCCAAAATATCATCAGCATTATTTTCTAGAACAAATAACTAATGTATGTCAATAACTGTATCCATGATGTTGCGTACACAGGGTGCCATAACTGATACTCCTATCACACCTGAGTTTTCTCTTTAGAAGTCATTTTTCTACTGTTCTGCATTCCCTCATGTAATATTTTGCACTCAAAACAGTGATACAGTAACATATAAAATCACTCAGTGGTATTTATACAGCTGAACTTAAATAAATAAATGAAGAAATAAATTTCATTATGAAGTACCATGTTTTACATCTTTGTTACTGTTTTGACAGTCTAAGTGTCTCTTCTCAGGTGTGGTAACCATATCTCCCATCACCAAAGCACCCATCATCCTTCACCCAGTCCACTGTGCTCCCATGCCCTCCTTCCCTCCTCCATTCTCCCTTCTCACCCCTCTCCACCCCTTTCCCTGTCTAGATGCCTCAGATCTATTAAATTTTATTAATGAAGAACTAATTACAATATATACAACATGTAATCAAAATGGCATGTTGTTTAAAATGGAAAAATTCTTGAAGAAAACAAAGTTTGCTCAAATCTATTCCTTCACCTTTATAATCTTTAGAATTGTGTTATTTTATGAATCATACCATTTGTATGGAGATACTGGCACTATATTTGTATATAAAAATATAAAATCTACATAGTAAGCAACATCTTACTTTTTTACTTTTATATTAATTCAACTGTCATTTTTTTTCATCAACATCACCATGGCAATTATAAGAATGCCAAGTGACAAAGAATTATAAGAATGTAAGAATTATAAGAATCACAGGTGACAAAGTAAGAAGACTCATTGTTTCAGAGCAACTATTTTACCATCAGAGCAGATGTAAATTACAGAAAAGGGAATCGCCTTTCCCAAGAAGATTAGTTAAGACCTATGTGAAATGTCCAAATGTCAAAAATATAAATATGACAAATATTAGATACCACTGAGTAACGGAAGCCTATCTACTTTCTTTTGATAACTGAATTTAAAGTTGGATGCTCTAGAAAGAGAGCACTTGCTGAAAATATATTTATGATGTTAAGACATTTAATTATAAGTTCTTTAGAAAAGTACCAGCTAAGTAGGTATCACTGCAGAAGTAGGAGACAGAAAATACCAGAGACCTGATCACAAACACTGTGCTACAAATTTAAGAAACCTTAAAAACCCTACATGGTTGTGAATTTTTCTGATTAAAATCAAATAAATACTATCAAAATATGAATCTCTCTTCTAAAAGTACACAGTTCTTTAACATAGTTTTCCTAAGCACCAGTGTAGTGAGAAGATAAGACTCATACCAACGTTGTCAATATTGGATTTGCAGAGCTATTTCCAACTTGGAAATAGGAATTTAGAGGAATCTGTTTTCTATTCCACATATTTATTGTTTATCCCCCCAAATGAAAATTTTGCACAATTTTATCATGAATGTTTTCAAGATCATTTTTTCTAATGTTTGGAGACATAACCATAAGTTAATATTCTTGAGTTCTTGATATCCCCATGGATCACAGATGTACAGCCATAATCACATTATCTGTCCTGTTTGAAACTAAATTTCATAATATGTGTCTTCCATTTAGGAAACAGAGACAATAGAAGATACTATCACTACTAAATTCACATAAATTAACTTGTTTTTGAAGATATTGATATTTATCCTCACATTTATAAAAATAACAAGCACATTGCATTTCGAAAATTTCAGAGAAAATAGTAGGAAAAAAATGGAGGATTTTTATTTCATAAAGGATGCTTTGATTATTCTCTCATCACTAATGAAAATTAATATACAGAACATTTAGTAAATTTTAGTTTGTTAATTAAACACAAAATACTAAACAAAATTTATTTTAAGGAAGCATTTAAAATCATGCTGAATATTATAAGCCCTAACTCTACAAAGATTTGGTAAATGTCAGAAATTATTTTCAGATAGTATGTGTAACCAGAAAGAAATTCCCCTAGTATCTATTACTATGATAGAAAAATCATCTTTATGATCTACTACTAATGTCCACTTAATGTACAATATTGAAAATGTCTTCTTTCATGACATAATTTCAAACTCTTAAAATATTATACTGAAATATCTTCATATTTCAAAGAACAAGGAACTATAATTTAATCATATTAAATTAGTTGTGATTTCTTCAGTTTTCAAACATTATTTAACCTAAATATATGTAGTAAGTTTAAGTGGGAGAGGTATAATACAGATTGAAGAGTTGTGAACCTATATCTCTGATTCATAACAAGTGTTGTATACCAATGTTACTTCAATTTAAAAAAGCACAATTAAAATGAGAAAACTTGGTAAAATTAAAAAGCCAAATGAAATTCTCTTTCATATAAAACATAAAAAATTTACGAATACCTTTCCAAGATCTACAAATTATAGCCTCATAAGATTCTAGAAATTGGTCATTTTACTTAGAAATATTTACTGCATTTAGTTATGATTCACTCAGATATGAGTCTGAAATTATAGAAGAGAATGATCTTAACACTTCAAGCTGCCTCATCCACCAGCTACCTCTTCGTAAGTCCTCACTGTTTATGAAACTAAGAAATAGAAACTCACCCAGCTGAGTCTTTGGAATGAGTGCTGGTGAGATGGGTTTTGTGGTTATAATACAGGGAGGTTATCAACTCATCTCCCTCTAGGCCCATAATTATCATGTTGCCTGTGGAAACAGGACAGTCCTGTCCTTGGGATTATTAGAAAAGCAGCCACTAAAGGGAGAACTTAATTTACCTCATTCCCGGAAAACAGCAGACAAGTAACAGCTGGGTTCTAAACTTCCATGTGTGAACTCACTTTTCTTTGCGTTAGTGTGCTATATCAGTCATTTTCAGAAAAATAAAAAATCTTCCAATAACTCTACCTTCAAAAGAAGTAGAATATTATGCCAGATTTCCCAGAATATTCTTCCCTATTCAAGTGACTGTGGGTTTGCTGTATAATCTCCAGCCATCCCTGGATTTCAGTGTCACAACTCAAAATAAGAGCCTTTGTGGGAATTAGGAAAAACGCCCCTCTGCCAGTTATATTTTGATGTCATGCTCTGACCTCCAGAAGACACAGATCAGAGGCAGGGCGCTTGAGCTGGGGAACAGAAAGCAGTTTGCTTACCACCCCCAACCCCCACTCTGCCACACACATACACCTAATGTGCCAAGTGCATTTGTAGAAGGCAGATAGGTGACACCTACACTGCAAGCAGCACTGATGTTTGGAAAATAAACTGTCTTTTTTTTTTTTAATTATTTATACATACAGAACTGGGGTGCAAGTCAGTTGTGAGATGATTCACCAGAGACAGAGTGGGGAGCTGAACAGGCAGATGGGCTGAAACACACTGCTGAGGGGAGCAGCGGGCGGGTCAGGGGAGGTCTGCCGTGCCAGATGAGTTACTCCCTGGCCGGGGATCAAACTTGTGTTGCAGGGGCTTCGTAGCTTCTTAGTGCTGTTTTAACCCGTTGCACCACCAGGGAGAGCCCCTAATTAATATACTTTAATTATTGATGAACATGTCAGGCTCCATGATTCTGCTGTGTTCTGCCACAGCAATTCTCGGGCTACTTTTTGCTTCTATTCAAAGAAGTGCTTTATTACATTCACCATGACATATACACTCCTTAGCCACTAAATATTTGCTTTTGTGTTGCCTACATACTAACCTGTCTGTATATCAACTTAACTTATCCTTTACTTAAACCTAACAATACTAACTATTTATATTTTTTCTTAAGTGAATGTCATCCCATGTTAAAAAGAAGACTTTACATCTTGTAAAACTATGGATTCCAACACAGAGCCCTAGCTCACCCTGTTTGGATCAGTCTAGTAAGTCTCTCTCATGTATCAAATCTGTTCCTTTAACAAACAAGTCTTCCATTGTATTCAGAACTACCCACGGCGCTTTTCTGTCCACAAGGACATGTCCTCCTGTCTCTCCATCCAGTCCAGCTGCCATCAGATGCCCTCATGATGACTTGTTAATCAACTTAGTAAACTTTTTAGACTTGTGCCCTCTTAGGTATACCTACATGTGAGTGTGTGTTTGTTTATAGAGAAGCAAAAACAAGCTAACTATTGCTACCAGACAACCTTAGAGGAAATAATGGAAAATTTATCACTCTGAAAATGTGATACCACATTGTAATCTGAATTCACATAAAATACAAAAAATGGGAGTTCTTCTGAAGATATCTACCATGGTATGCCTACAATAATAGTCCAGGAAGCTAAATGTGAGGAAGAGCCGCTTAGAGGTTCTTAATACAGCTGCCCAGAAAGGAGCATAAAAAGAAAACTCCAGGTTCCTGTTGGCTTTTCAAAATTTCCAAAAGAAGTAGAAAACAGATTGAGGCTGATACAAAAATATTCAACAAAAACCTAGCAAACTAAATCCAATGATGCGTCAAAAGGATAATACATTATGTCCAAGCAGAATTTATACCAGGGACACAAGAATGGTTCAACATCCAAAAATCAATTAATGTAATTTACTTCATCAACAAAAATAAAAACCACATGATCATGTCAACAGATGCTGAGAGAGCATTTGATAAAGTCCAATATCCATTTATGATGAAGCTGCTTGAAATTCTTGAAATAGAAGGAACATATCTCAACTTAGTAAAAGCCATATATGACAAATCTAAGCCAATTATTCCTAATGGTGAGAAACTAAGACCCTACCCTTTAAGATTTAGAACAAGACAAGGATGTTCACTCTCACCACTGTTTTTCAGTATAATATTGGAAGTCCTAACTAAAGCAATTAGGCAAGAGA